GCGGCCCCCAACTGTTTTTTTTCAAATGCTAACCCCTATCTTGCGATACATCATTAGAAATAGCATAAAAAACTAAGAATTTTGGCGCAAACCGCAAATCAATATCTTAATTTTTGACCGAGTTATGATAGGTCAAAGGTCAAATTTGACCTATTTTCAAAAAATCATATCTCCGGTTCAAATTATCGTAAAGAAAAAAATAAAACGGGGAAATTTACCAAATTGTACCTAAGCACTTTTAAGTAAAAATCACAGAAATTACTTCAAACTAATTTTAAGGGGGGTTTCGGACCCCCAAATACGTCATTTTAAAGGTCATACGATTTTCTCACGAAATGAGCCAATTTCCCCTTACTTTCCCTCAATATTATGTTAGTAAGTTCAAAATTAGTTCAACATTGCGTTTTTAAGTCCTCAAATTCCAGGCAAAGTTCAAAAAACTAAATTTAAGGTGATTCAATTCAACCATTTAAATTTCCTTTTTTCTTAAACCTTGTTCGAAATTTGGGGACTTGAAAACGCAATGTTGAATTAATTTTGAACTTACTAAGATATGGTTGAGAAAAAGTAAGTGGAAATTTGCTCATTTCGCGAGAAAATCGTATGACCTTTAAAATGACGTATTTGGGGGTCCGAAACCCCCCTTAAAATTAGTTTGAAGTAATTTCTGTGATTTTTACTTAAAAGTGCTTAGGTACAATTTGGTAAATTTTCCCGTTTTATTTTTTTCTTTACGATAATTTGAACCGGAGATATGATTTTTTGAAAATAGGTCAAATTTGACCTTTGACCTATCATAACTCGGTAAAAAATTAAGATATTGATTTGCGGTTTGCGCCAAAATTCTTAGTTTTTTTATGCTATTTCTAATGATGTATCGCAAGATAGGGGTTACCATTTGAAAAAAAACAGTTGGGGGCCCCCCCGCCCCCCCCCTGAGGGGGAACCAAAATTTTGACCCCCCCCCCCCTAGAAGATGGTCCCCTTTAAGATAGAAACATTCTTAAAGTTTCGTTTTTCTATCTCTAACCGTTCAAAAGTTACGAGGGGGGGGAGATACGAACTTTTGGGACACCCTGTATAGAGTAATGCCTGCTATATTTTGCATAATATGCATGCTTCTATAATATTATGCCCGCCAGGTTGGCCTAGTGGTCAGCGCGTCTAACTCCAGTTTACTACATCCCGGGTTCGAGTCCTAGTGGTAGCAACGATTCGCACGGAACTGTAACAAGTGGATCCGCACGGAACTGTAACAAGTGGATCCGCACGAACAGATCCCAGTCGGCACTAATCCCTAAGAATGAGATTGCTCACAAAATCGATGTGTCATACTGTCAAATTTGATTCTTATTAAACGTTACAGAATCCCTTACGGAAACACCTTCAGAAATTAGAAGATGAATGGAAAGAAAATCAATGAATGTTGGTAACCGATTGCTCTTATTTTGTTGTAAATCAGGTTCAAAGTCAACGAAAAGCAGCTGGTGCGATGGCGGCTCCGGTGCGTCAAGTAAGTGAGGAAGATGAAATATCAAGAATCAAACGGCAAAACAAAGCGTCTAGTAGCAGCGAGACGACGACAGAGACGATGGCCCCTGCCCGAACCATGGTATCGGAGAGGGTGGCGTCCCTAAAACGAGAAGAAAGCAAGGAGCCCACCAGCCACTCAACACTGCAGCCGAGGAAAACATCTGCCTCTGTAGTACGCTCTTTTGAACCAATCAATTATTTATGTCTTATAAAAGCTTTGATTCAATATTCTTTCCTTATACAAGCACCCAATATTTGCAGGACATTTAGTTGCATTAATTTCGTCTCAGTATTGGTGGAGGGTTTGAAACTTAGTGCCGATGTAGCAACATTCGATTCTTACTTAATGGCCCTCTGGCCCCAGAGTTTTTTTCCCTTCAACCCGTGGTCGATATGATTTTTAGCATTAGCGCATGGTAATGTGAACTTACATGGGAGCGGCCGCTCATTAACTCAAATCGACGATTTTCTTGCACCTTGTAACCTGATAATAAAAAGAACTTTAAATTGTGTTGAACTCAAAATTGAATCGGTTTCTGTTAAACGGGCGTAAGTCCACAAATCCAAATTTTTCAGGAGAGGAAAAAAACTGATTTTCTCGTTATGCAGGACACCACTAAATTTCAAAAAAGGGTTCAAAGGTTGTATAAACACCCGTTTAAAAGTTCTGAAATGTTTTTTTGGCTCAGAAAAATTTTAGTACCCTTTTAGGCTAATTTTAAGTTTTGGACTTACGCCCTTAT